ACACAAAACAACACAAAACAACACAATACAATACAACACAGCATAACATGTTATTCTTCAACTTTATCTTTTTCTCCTTTTTTGTCTCTACCTTTATCTTTGTCTCTGCCGTTTTTTATCTTTTCGTTTTATATTTATCACTTATTTTTTTTTTTAGTAACTTTGGGAAGTTTTCAAATAGAATGTTCATATTAGGGGCAATGAAAGTTGGCATCAAATACAGCCTACCTAGGAAGTTTCAAAAGTGTGCCACCGAATTAAAAAAAGGGCAGCATGCAGAATAACTTTCGCAACTATTTTGTAATTTTTTGAAACTTAACAATTTTTCTTCATTTTAAAAGTTTGATATACTTCAAACTGTTAGCGAAAATGTTCCTGTTATCGAAAAGAACAAATCAAATTTAAAAAAATACATTGATAATAAGCTGATGATGATTTGCGAAAAAAAAATTCCAATTTTAACATTTTTATTGGCCTACTCGAAATTAATTGTGAAATTTTTTATACAGGAAGAATACTATAGAAAATTATTCCACGAAATAAATTTAGTTGCAAATAAAATCAGCACTTTTTAAACGGCACAAACGCTGCAAGTAGACCACAACACCAGCCATGTGTCCACATACATACATATATTCACGCGCACACAGCGAGACGCCCCCTTTCTCGCCACGTCTCGCATGCATATGTATGTATGTACATATGTAGTGTTGCTATCAGCGCCACACTTTTACGATATTAACTTGCTAATTTTAAAGTGCTGACTGCTCTTGGCGTTTTAATGCGTATACGCCCCGTTTGCCATCCCACAGTGCACACCTACCACAGTGCTTTGCTTCTCGGCGCGCGAGGCGCCCAGATTACACATGCAATACCAGTCAACACGCATCACTGCGTTCTGTATTAAAATTTCAGTATTTTTTGGAGTTTATTAAAATGATTTGCTGTACGAACGATTTTACTGCTGCCATTCAAATATTTAATACGCGTTCCCATACCTCTCGCTCACTTATGTATGTGACTAGCTCGTACTCTTTAGCTGCCGTTTAGCTTGTGGCATATGTATCCTTCGCCATCGCTGCCACAGTGTGAAAATATTTTCAGCGACTTTTCTTTTGCAGTTGTTGTCTACACCATTTTTCATTATTATTTTTTTTTTTGTTGATGATATTTATATGTATATATTGAGCTTGTTTGCATTGCTTTGGCATTCAGGTGTGCACGAATGTTGATTTGTATGCACGCGCGCATACAAGTGGATGTACTAATGTATGTATGTACATATGTATGCATTGTGGCTTTGCACAAATGTTATTTCAACATTTGTGTCCTCGTATCCTTGTGTGCGCGCGTGAGTGTTATTGTATTTATGTGACTGCGCTCTACAGTGAACATATGTTAATGTATTCTTGTTTGTATGTTGTGATAAGGTTTGGCTGACTGCTAGCTACTGCAGCTTTTAATGCTACTAGTATACATATTTTGATAGCAAGCCGTGCTTTAATAGCCTCCAATCGATGGTCTGCGAGAAAGCAATCTCATTGCTCTGCTTCCAACTTTTGTTTTTTGCGAAGCATTACACAAATTTTAAATTCTCCTGAAGCTAAAAAAGTTGAAGATTGACAAGACAAGTTTATAGAACAAACCATAATACGTGGAAGCAGCTCCCCATACACCATATTCTGCCGGTCAGCCTCCCCTGACTCAATTTCGTAAAATCGTAGCCGTCGTACTTTAACGTCCTGAATCTCAGCTTTATTTCATAGAACCAAGTAAAATTTAGTTTCCAGCTAGCGAGATATCAAAAAATTCCAGTTGTGAATAAACTCCAAAGTTTAGCGAAAGTACACATAGTAGAAATCCATCAATTCGAAGTATTTTGGCGTGGTGCATATGTACTTAAATATTTGCATAAGCCTGCACACATTGTGAAGTAAAAAGAACTAACATACATATATGTACGTAGAAAAGTTGCAAAATCAATTGAAAAATCATTGCCTGAACAACCGAAAAGCAATGTAAAATATATGCAAGAATTGTGCGTATCGATATAATTTTTCATTCAAGCATTGAAGCCAGAAAACTGCAGCAAAATGTTGTTAATTTAAAAACAACTTTAAATACAATTTTGTTTGATGAATTGATGCATGATAATTGACCATACATGCATACATACATATATGGACATTAGACCGTACCACCTTACAAGCAAACATAAAAAGTTCCTCGTACACTCCCAAGTCTACATAAAGTACTTTCCCTAGGCAATTTCGAAATTTCGAAGATACCTACATACAGCGTACTACTACTCTTTTAATGGATATATGTACTTCCTTAGCAAAAGTTTAATGATTTTTGGTGAGCTGTAATTCACTGTCATTAGGGTGGTACGTTAGGTGGATAAGAACTGAGATCTGGTTGGTAAGTACTAGAACGGCGTACTTGCGGTAAATAAATTTAAAACACAAAAATTGTCTCTTTGAGACAAGAACATCGATATATCATACTTTAAGATCCAAACATAAATGCCGAAGATATGAGAAAAATTTAAAAAATACGACCCCTGCGTTCCCCCATAAAAAGTTTTTTTTTTGAAATTTCGTTTCGAAAATGCTTTAAATTCGAAGGTGTGCGGCGAATTTTTTTTCTCGAATACGTTCTAATAGCCATATGCTACGTATTTAGTTCGATTGCGAAAATTTATTTCGTCTATGAACATTAGGGTGATCCAAACAAGGTAAAATTGGAATCTTAACCTTAATTAATTGCCTACTTTTCTATTACCATTTTCTAAACAAGAAATTGCATTCTTCCCCTTTCTCTGTCCTTCGTAAATGCAACCTTTTTTAAGGGAGTGTTAAACCGCGGCTGTCAATAATTATCTAACCTTGTATTATTGACATGAGTCGGAGTCGTGTTCCGATTGGCATGGAATATCCCCTAAAAACCATTTGAAAGTACATTTCCTGGTACTTTTTCAGTTAAAATTAACTTCGTCAAACTTTATGTTATTGCTTGTTTTTCGCATGAGTAAAGTTGAGAGCAGTTTTGAGCTGCATAGGCAAATGTCTAGAACATAAGGCAACTTGGTTGTCAAAATACATACATACATACATACACGGAAAGTAACTAATGCTCCAACAACATGTTTGTTAAATAAAACTTAATAAGAATGGCAAAAATACGCTTTGTGTACCAACGAAAAATTGTGAGAAGGGGTGGCGGGGGGATTTCAAAAAATCGCTTGCAAAAACCCTCATCTCTAATTCCCCTATGAAAGTTAAATAAAAAATTAATTTATTTCTCGCAAAGGTTGTCACATGTTCAACATAGACCAAACTTTTATTATTTGACTACATGCATTTTTTATAATGTGCTTCACAGCTGTTGTTGGTTTTCTTTAACATCGAAGTGCCATGCAAGCCAAGGTAAATTTGCTTTGGTAGGCATACGAAATCAAAAAAAAAAGAAAAAAAAAATAGAATAAAACTTTCAGGCTTTGCACCTTTGCTACTCACATGAGCGCAAAGTGCAGATGAGGTACATACATATGTTTGTATGTTTATTAGCTCTTTAATAACTTTTGCAGGTACTATGTGAGAGATTGTCAGTATTTTTTCAAACAAAAAAGAAAAACATGACACTTGCAGCTGTCAACCAAATGCCCAGAAAAAGTTCATAAATCACATAAAGGCTATCGCAAAAAAATTAAGCTCCAGACACAAAGAATTACTATACACATGTATGTATGTATGTACTGAGCATTTTTTTCTTAAAATTCTTTCCTGTGAAAAATTCAGCGCAGGGTATTAGTAACAGCCAGTGTAGTGTGCCTGGATATTTCTCATTCATTATACATTGAATTCCATCACGTCTGCAAATATTTACATATGTACATTAGGGGGGATAAGCGAAAAAATCAATTTTTCGATTTCGATTTCGAAATTCTTAGAGTGTAGAAAATTTTCGTAACATGATCACATTGATTCCAAAAGTTTTAAAGTTTCGAAAAATCGCTGAAATTCTGGTTCTTTTGTAAATTTTTTTTTTAAGCTTTTTCAGAAAGATTTTGCGTCACGCAATTTTGTGGCCCTTTAAGTTTTAGCACAATAGAGTGCAAGTTTCAAGTTGCTAAAAAATCATATTGGTTTTTGGATTTTATTTTTTTTTTTGCTGGTAGTTATATGGAAACACTGCGTGTCACTAAAATTTAATGGACTACAAAACTGCCTACTCAAAATCTTCTTAGAAAATGGAAAAAGTATAAAAGAACCATAACTTGAGAGTTTTCGAAACTTTAAGGCTGTTGGGGCTACCGTAAATATTGTCCGATCGGAAAACAAACTAGCGCGGTTCAATGTGATCATGCCACGCAACTTTTCAGAACTATTCGAATTTTGAAATCGAAAAACGTTTTTTTTCGCCCCACCCTAATGTGCATACATATGTTTGTAAATATTTGCGGTTTAAATCGGTCAAATGTGATCTTGTCACGCAACTTTTCAGCGCTATTTAAATTTTGAAATCGAATAACGCCTTAACGTATGCTATATGTCAAAATTTGCGCTTTACGTCATTTCAATGAGATCATGTCGCGCGACTTTTCAGCACTATTTAAATTTCGAAATCGTAAAATTATTTTTTTCGCTCCACCCTACTATATGTTCATGTGTATGTACAGACATGTAATAAAGTTGTGCAACAATTTCATTGTATATGCAAATTTAAGTCATCACTTATATGAATACATTCATACATGCATAAAAAGAAGAAGAAGAAAAAACACTTTTTAATAACTCAATGTGGCGCCATATTTGCTGAAAGCGTACACAGTGACCACTCAGAGATTTTACAGAGGTAACTACTGAGCCGGATGCTTATATACAAATGAAAGTAATTGCAATTCACCTTTTGGTTTTTTCATAAATCATAAAATGTAAGTGCGTGCAATTTATACGCGAATTTTAAAAAATTCTTTTGAAACAAAAATCATTACTTACCTATAAAAATTTCCACATCAGCGTCATTGTCATGCCCATCACCGCCAGCATCATTGGTAGCAGCAGCAATGGTATCGGCATGGCGTACATCATTGAATTCATTAAGTGGACTATCGGCAAATCCTCCAACATCGGTGCCTCCATCCAAATCGTGCTCCACATTCGCTTCATCCAAGCCATTCAGGTACGTTTCGAGCAGGTAATTTTTTCCCAATTCGCGTTCGCGGACACGATGCTTTTCCTCTTCAATTTTAGAAATTTGTCGTTCCTTCTCTCTGTTTGTTCAGCCGGCCATGTGGGGGTGTGTTTGTGTTCGTAGAGCACAAAATGAACAAACAAACAAACAAAAAAGTAAAGTATGTATAGTGAGAAAATTACAAAAACAAAAGCAACATGCATGTGTAAACAAGGCATAAATAAACAAAATATGCAACAGCATACAGAAATGTGTGGTTTTGAGTGCGCGAATTTGTACTGTTACTCACAAAAGTGTGCAGCAAATTGGCAGGGTATGTTTACACTTCACTAATTTAGTATGTAAAACAACAATTCGAATTATGTATGTACATAAGGGGTATTCACGATCCGGTGCATATGGTCTAGCATGGTGCATAGATAGCATAAATAGCATGATTGTTGTTGTTTCATGAGTTCAAACAACAACAAAATTAGCCAATCATGCTATCTATGCACCATGGTAGACGGTATGCACTGGATCGTGAATACCCCTATACATTTTCCAGTGCATAATTATTATGAAAATACATACATATATAGGTATTACAAAGATTTTAAAGTATGGTTAATTCTACAACAAAAAACATAAAAATATAAGTTCTAAACTTTGTGCAAAACTCGCGAAAACTCAATAAATTTACATGCAAATTTTCAACTTTTTAATCAGATTTTTTTCGAGAATGCAGTTTTGTAGCCCATTAAATTCTAGTATACAAATGCAAATTTGAAGTTAGTCAAAAATTGCGTTGATTTGTGAAATTTTTTTTTTGTTGAAAGTGTTTCGCATATTTTCCATACAAAGTATTTTTGTTTTTTTTTTATGGAAGAAACTGCATGAAAAACAATTGCCAAAAATCAACGTTAAATCCGAAAAAATTCGTCGAATATATTTTGTATGGAAAAAAATTTGTAATGCAGTTAGAAAAAAAATTATTAAAAATAAACGCGACCCATTAGCAATTTAAAACTTTCAGTTGTTACCGTGGAATTAAATGGGCCCTTAAACTGCATACTTAACAAAATTCTTTAAAATCTAAAAAAATTGAAAATTTAGCTGAAAGTTTGCAGATCTTTTATTATTTTTGTACAAATTTTGTTATGTAGATTTATATGGTGTTTGTTATATACTGAGCCAGACTTTTATGAAAAAAATAAACATTAAATAAACAAAAGAAAAATAGCCAAAATTGATCAAAATGTTGATGACTTAATCAGCTGATCTCAAGTGTACATATATTCCAGTAATAACTTTCGATGAAGTCTTACACCTGAACCACATCCTCGAAATATATCTATATTATATCGGAGCCAAGAAAACTGTTGTATTAGCATGGGAAGCGGGGTCATGAAGGACATGGTGACAATGAGAAGGCAGACTGCCGAGCGACCTAAAGAGCTATCGCAGTATTTCATGGTCTGGAACGCGTTTTGTGAACTTACCAAAGCACACATGAAGGGGATCACAAATAACTAGATAGGCGAATTGTTCACCAGGCACTGGACGGAGTGCACAGCGCACGACAAGCCCAACGATATATCTACACATCCTTGAAAAAAAGCTACAAAGAAACTAATTAAGTTAGGCAGAAAGTGATCCAAATCTCCAAGTGGGTACTGACGGGACATTCTTCTCTACGCTATCATCTCAGTAAAATTCATCTTTTAGTAACAACCGTCTCTCGTTTTCGCGACGAGCTGGGCGAAGAAACGTTAGATAATACCTATTCTCCAGAGTTGTGAAAAATGCATTAAATTTTCAATGCATTAATGTAACATTGAGGCAATTATGTTAATGTAAAAATTAATGCATTAAATTTTATAAATTTAATGCCAAAAAAATGCAAATGCATTAATTTTGAATATTTAATAATTAATAAAATTTTAATGCATTAATTCTTGAAAAAATAATGCTAATGATTTTTTTTTTATTAAATTATCCAAACCTAATGCTAATGGAAAATTTTAATGCATTAAAATAAGTAATCGTTTTACCCGTTTGCATTAAGTTGTACTCAGGATATTTGTCATAGCTAATACGATAAATATTGTAATTCGTTGTGCGTTAGTAAGGAACCTCGCCGTTAATTACATACGTATATCACTGAAATACAAAGCAGTTTAATTGATAATGTGCCGCATGCATAAAACCTAAGCAAATGCTTTTTCTTACAATTTTTGACCCTTTAGTCGATTTGTTCAAATAAATTTAAGTGAAAGGTATGAAATTAAGAAAAACAAATGCTTAGTTTTCAGAAGAAATGCATTCAAATTTTATTAAGCATTACATTTTCAAAATTAATGCATTTAAATTTTTCATTTGCATTAAATTACAAAACATAATGCATTATTTTTTTACATTAACATTAAAATGCTATGCATTAAAATATTAGTGCATTTTTCACAACTCTGCTATTCTCTAGGTTGGTGCTACATTTATACCATTTGAAATTCTGAAGAAAGCGCCCTTGCAAGTGCTAGGCTACATTAAAAGCCTTCCCATATAGGGTGGACAGGCCACGCACAATAGATAATTGTAAAAGGGGTGTTGCTTTTGGCCCCTTAAGTTAGGTTAGATAGGCAGGCTGCCTCCGTATATGAAGGCCCACTTGGACTCGACTAAGCTGTCCATTGTGATGCCCTTAAGAGGGGAGAGGGAAAAGGACGGAGGCAGACCGGAAGGTGAGTGGGACGGTAGGGAAAGCTAAGGGAGAATGACGACATCTACGGCTTTTTGCAGAGGAAACAAAGCTCCTTACGGCATGACTACCCATCTCGAAGTGACCAGTAAGCATTCCCACCAATAGTGAGAGAAGCAGCATGCTTAGGCTCAAGAGCTACCCAGAGAGTCTCCGGTTTACCCCCGTGGCCAGAAGAATTTTGACACCTTGCATTCCAAGGTCTTCGCCCAGCGCTCGCTGAGCTGACTAAACGCCCATCTGTCCAGAAACAGACCACACCAGGTCAGGGAAGCCCCTTAATAATAATAATAAAAAAAAAATATTAAAAATAACAACACCTCAAAAACTACACTACAAATAGTAGCTTTATATATATATATATTTTCTTGTTAATTTGTATGTATGAATTTCATAAATTCTTTCGCAAAACCAATTTCCCTACACACATTTGTGAGTCACTGTTTAACAATAAGTATCTAGAAAGTTGCATAAGCTCACCTTAGAAGTGCCAACTGACGATGAATGGTTTCATCCTGTGCTAGAATAATTTTCAGAAGCCGCTCATTTGCACTTACGCCGCCTCCTCCACCGCCTCCTCCTCCTACACCGCCTCCACCTAACCCATTCAGCGCATCCACGCCCAACCCATCCTCGCCCAATGCCTGTTCAATGACAGCAATGTGCTTCCCATTGTCACCATGTGCATTGGTCAGCTGTGTATTGAGTCCACTAAAAGCGGCGACAGCGCGCTGTGAGACGCGTGGATGCAATGTATTCGCCTGTGCCAGCCAACTCACCGTAGCTGCTGATTTGTATTTGCGGCGACGTAGCCGCGCGCTACGCGAACTGCCCACCGGACTGCCCATGCCGCTGTCCTTGTCCGTGGATAACAGCGAAGAGACCTGTGTATTGAGGTTGAGCGACGGTGAGCTGGGACGATGCAATGCGCCGGCTGGAAATGTAGTGAAAGTCGCATGATTGTTGTTGTTGTTGGTGCTGTTGCTCGAGTTGGCGGCAGCTAGGCGTCGTAGTAGCAATTCGCACTAATGAATTAGGTGGTTGGTTGGTTGGTTGAAAGAGGTCGTCGAGTCGTTGATGAGGTCACAGTTAGAGTGTGGTGATGCGGCGGTTGTTGAATGGTCGAGTGGCGAGTAGCGGATCATCGTGCGCAGAGTAGCCCGTTGCATGCATATTGGGTCCAAGCAGTAGTAGGTGCATGCGTGCGTGCGTGTACATATGCAGTTCATTGGTTTGCCGCGCGAATCGATGTTGTGGTTGCATTGCATTTACAATAGTTGTATAGTTGTAGTTGGAATTTGTAGTTTGTTTGTGTTTTTTTTGTTGCGTTGTCATGCATGAAAGAAAGAAAGAAAGTGGAACGGAAATAATGGCTTTGAAAAATTGCATAGTTTTTCGTAAGTAAAAATGTTGCGTGACTCAACACTTAACACTAAAAATGAATTGCATGTCTTACAAATCGCAAATTGCTTGCCGTCATTGCATATGGCACGATAAAAAAAAAAAACAAAAACACTTCACACAATTGCTTGCTTGTGCGAAGAAAAGACTGAAGTGGCAAACTTTGCTTCATCAATGGTTCGTTGGTTGCTTTGTTGTTTAGTTGTTGGTGCCGCAGGAAGATTTGCAAAGTTTTTCAACGAAACTTTAACATTTTCAAAAATGCCAAAGCGGAAAGTGTGAAGTGTAATGCGAACAGTTAAAAGCGAAAGCTGAGCAACAGCGTACGATTTGAAAATTTTTCGACATAATGACAGCAGGCGAAATGCGGCTCGAAACAATCAAGGAAATGCTAAATACATGCGACTGCTGAGCTTTACGACTTGCCTGCCTGCCTATGTACTTCCCTGCATTCGTCTTGGCTGCCCTGAGTAGTTAAGTATTTCAACATTTCTGTTTTTTATTTTTTTTTCTGCAAGGCAACCTCATCAGTGGTTGAGCCGCCTTTTGGCGGTTAGACTCGTATTGTACGTCGTTGAGTAGGCATTGCGTGACTTGTTTGCTTGACTGACAGCTACAGTGCGTTGCTGTTTTCGCAATCTATGACTTTGCCAACGTTGCGAATGTCCTTGGCTTCCGCGTTTGCCCGTAACTGTTACCAACTGTGCTCGTCAGCGTCAAACCTCAACATCAACAACCAATTTTGCATCGAATGTAAACCGATTTATTGTTGACTACGGACAAATAACATTGCTTTGGTTGATGAACATACGAGTACATTATGCACCGTAAAACTGTAGTTGATCATTTTTCCTGCTTCTATTGGATGCTTTGAAATCTCACCTGCGGAAATCTTGTGGAATTGTTCCACCGAATCTGACTGGAACTTATTAACAAGCAGAATAGTGGCCCTCATCACACAGCGCATGAAACAATAACCCTATTGCGAAAGAGACTACCAGGACGCATTATCATACGAAACATGGAGGTCAAATGGCCGCCAAAATCTTGCGAGTTGGCACCGTTGGACTTCCCCCTCCGGGGCTACGTGAAAAGTATGCTTTATGTCAATAAGCCTGAGACGATGCCAGAGCTGAAGAATGAAATTATACGCTTTATAAATGATATACATTCGATGAATGAATATCGGTCGAGAAATAAGCGCAGGATTTGGCCCTAGGACGGAGTAATTTTACCGCTTCTGTAGAACATAGCCGTAGATAGCCCCCTTCAAGAACTCGACGATATTGGCTGGAAGTTAATTGCAAACGCCGACTATGTAGTAATATATAGCTACTTCGGGTAAATACCTCAACTCCCTTGCATCGAGAAAGGAGACAAATATCTAGGTCTCATACTTGATAGGAAACTAAATTGGGATCCCAGCATTGCAGATAGAGTGCGCAAAGCAACGATAGCACTATATGTATTAATGCGGCAGGTTAATAGGAAAAAGATTGGGAATGGAACCCAAAATAATACGCTGCCTATACACAGCTTTAGTTGAGCCAATTTTCAGGCAAGGTATAGTGCTATGGTGGAATATTATTGGGAAAGGCGTAAACTTAAAAAAAAAATGCTGCCGGGAAAGCATTTACCACTGAAGTGTCTTTCATGCGGTATTGATGCCAATCGACAGGGCCACAAAACTGGTAAAGTGTGGTATGATATCCCAAGTTGATATATACATATTTACTGACAGCCTAGCGGCCATAAAACACCTCACGAAGCAGTCGGCGGAAGCTGGTATGTTTGGGATCCGTAGCACTGCAATATAGAGAGGAATAGTAAGACCGATAAACTGGCGCGGCTCGGCACCAAACTTCTTATTGAGGATGCAAATTATAAAATAGGAATATCCTTACAAACTTAGAACCTACTTATTTCTGAGAGGCTTACTTAAGTGGCGAACGACATATGGCATGACGAGATTACCTGCAAAACTGCCTAGCAATTGCGGGATGAATATTAGATTATTAAAAGCTGTCAAAATGAAGAGGAGGAGGAAACGACTCTGCACCGGTTGTGCCAGTGCCCTGCTCTGTACAGGCGAAGACTCTCCACTCTTGGTAGGCTATTCCTCGACAACTGGGAGGACCTTAGATGCGTACAAATTAGGGGTCTTCTGAAATTCCTGCGAAGGACGGATTGGGAGTTGCTGATCCCACATGCGGCAACACAATAGCCCCTGAGCCTTTTTTTATAAACGGAATCGACAATCAACCTAACGTAGGGTACAGCCCAAACTATGCCATATGTAGACTAAAAAACATGATAAAAAGAAATAGAATCGAAAAATCTTGGTGTATTTTATTTATACTTAAAATAAAATCTGCGGTTTTATTGAATCACCCTATACCTAGCTAATAAATTCGCTCACTAGGGCTAAGAGTTCTATCCGGATTTGTTGACTATTCAGATACTCCAGATATCCGGATATCCCAATGGTGTGTTGGCAGTCCACTGAGTAATTAAAGAGTTTAGTGGTGCACAGAATCGAATGTGTAGGCCATAGTGAAGCGGTTTATCTGCCCATCGAATTTGGAACCTTCGAACTCGGCTTGGAATTTGTAGGGACACTGGTACCTTCGCTTAGCGCGAGTGCATTTTCCCTCTCTAGACTTAGGCTCGGCTATCTGGGTTGCGTGGAGCGTCATCCATCAATAGACCACGCCAGAGTTATCAGGGCATTGAGGCTCCTCAAAATAGCAATAAATAATGATTTCTTTAGGTGGAAGGCGTCTGTACAATGAAAACTTCTGAGGGCCTTTGCGCGTTAGTGAAGGCAAATACCGCAGATGACGGAACGATGAGCTGTATAAGATTTTAAACGGTATAGACACAGTGCGGCGGATTAAAATACATACGAAGGGATCCACTTTGGAACAAACATGGAACATTACTCCATTAACGAATATGACAGCATTTTAAAAATCGACGTTTACAGACTTCTAGACTACTTGTAGATTTCTTAAGTTAATAATTACGCAATTACTACTAGGATATCTATTCCTATGGGAAAGTATCGGAGCATTTTCAGGCAAAGGTATACGCCATCCATCTGTGTGTCGAGCTAATGATACACAGAGGGTACCGAAATAAGATCATCAGCGCTCAATTGGATCTTCATTAGTCCTTGAGTGTATTGAGAAACTTACCGCCCTTGGTGGGCAAAAGAACATCCAGTTAGCATGGGTACCCGGCCGCAGTTGGATAGCGGGTAATGAGACAGCGGACTATCTCGCAAGGGCCTCAGTAGACATGACTCCAATTGACGCTGAGCCGTGTTGTGAAGAGTAGAGGCCACAATATATCACAAGGTCGCGGTGCACGTCTGATTTTAATATCGATATATCTATCGAAGCAATTAAAATGGCGACAAACTCAAAATGTTTTGGAAAACATCGAAATTCCCAAGCTCATAATAGGCAGCACATCGCCAATCTACATACATATATTGAGGCCCAAAAAATAGTATCGTTTCGAGGAGCGAAGAAGAAGACGAGTGCTACTCTGAGTTTCCTGCGCACACTAGTTGAGGAGAAGGCCACAATATAAGCATGTGCCTAATCAAGACACATGCACAGTAGGCCATATGCCCTAGTTATCGCTCGGTGAAGGAGGAGCACACACAGTGCATTTCATGCCGCTATCCACTCTCTCATAAAAACAAGAATAAAAATAAAAAGCGCAGCATGTCAACCTCAGAATTTATAACAGTAATAGAGTCTAGTCTACTACTATCTACGAGTGCCTGCATTTTGCACGCAATATTTTGACAACATGACAGCGGTAAATAAACACACAAACAACTTACCTCCTTCCTGGCGGAGCCATCATGCGCTGGCAGCACATCGAATACCTTCGCATTCCCATCTAAATACTCCTCACAGTGACGATGCTGCTTGACAATGACGTACTCGCATGCCTGCGCTAGGCGGCGGTGATTGCCAACGTTAAAAGGGCCACCATCGCCACCACAGCCAGTTGCGGGAACGGTTAGCGCCATCGCAGAAAGCGCAGCGGGATAGCAACCACCAACAGTCAATTCGACGTGATTGCTTGCAGCTAGCACGGGAACGCAATTTTCTTTGGTATTCGTTGATGTTTTTATTAACATTGATTGATTGATGGCTGTATTTGGTGGTGGGCTGATGCTGCTGCTGCTATTCGTATTAAAGCTGTTGGCGGTGGTGGTGGTGGTGTTGCCGTTTGCTTTGCTGTTATTGTTATTCTTAATACAATTGTTGTTTTTGCCATTATTGACATTAAACATATGCTGCTGCTGCTGCTGCTGTTGCTCATGGCGTTTTTGTTGCATTTGCTGTGCGTTTTGATAATTGAGCAATGCGCCAATCAGCTCCGCACAAGTTGTATTCGCATCCACACCTGCCACCCAATGCTTTTCGCCATCCACCCAAACAGCTACATTGTCCGACAAAGTTTCCATTGAACCGAATGAATCGCTATCATCATCATCATCATCGTCGTCGTCGTCGTCGTCCACTTGAATGCCGTCCGCTGTCGGCACACCTGTACAAGTGTCAACGGCTAGATTAATATCATCAACAACAACCACATTTGTCGTCGTTGCGCCATTGGGAGCCATGCTGGCGACACTATCTTTATATACATTGCCAGTGCCATCGACATTGCCCTCATCATCATCAACTACAACACCGATTGCATTCGCGGCGGCAACACGGTTGCTGACCATTTCATCTCGCTGCACCCTTTCATTTAAAATTTCCCCATTGGTCGCACCGCCGCGTGTTTGTTGCTGCTGCTGCTGCTGATGATGTAGGTAAGCGTGTGTATAGCCAGTAAAACCAATATTTATCGCTCTGCTAGCCATCGTTGTTTGTGTTGTTGGCTGCTGCTGGAAAAATGGTGGCTGCTGCCGTAATGGGTAGCTGGAGTTGATGGCGCTGGCTTTATTTCGCGTCAATTGATTTGTATCTTTGGCCGCCATGGTAGCTGTCATCGTTGCTGTCGCCAAAGTCGTTCTGCTGCTCCTGTCGGCCGAAAGCGCCCGCCCGCCTGTGCGCTCTTTGTACGGGTAATTTGTGTTTTGCTGCAAGTGGAACAAGAAAAATAAGAGCCAATGAATTACAATGACGATACAGCTAGCTAGATAAACACGCACACACACATGCATTCATACATAAGTATTGTTTACTGTGTATCTATGTATGTATGTTTAGCGATAGCAATAACTAATAAAAAAAAGCATTTCCAACGCGTTCGCTTGAATTGATTTATTTTGGCATATTAACTAGAAATGTGAGCAAGAATGGCCAAATGATGTGGTGTCTGATTTGATTAGTGTATTGAGTGCATGAACACCCGCTCATTTTCACACCTACTTCTACAGCAGCACCAATACCCACACCCAATAGCCAATTACTTGCATACTCGCGCACCAAACCCATCTACCGACCAACAATAGAAAATCCGATTAATGGCGCCTGCAGCTAGTAGCTGCTGTGGGTGCTTACTGCTGTGTACTTTCATAAACACATACACACATACATACATATGCATGTATTTATTAGATTATATCGTGCGCAAATATGGTTCATATAAGCAGGGCCGCACTAGCAAGTGTGCGGGGCCAAAGGCCGGTGGAAATGTGGGACCCTTTAGCAATTACGTTTTTATCAAGTGTAATGCGTTTCAGCAATATCACAGTGCAACACTCAAAAATTGATGGGAAATAGACCAATTACATTCATTTAGGGTAGTCAAAATACGAATAAATACAAAAGAATTTGTTTAAGTGGCTTACCATTTTTATTATATATCGATTTAAAACTATATATATAAGGGTTAAAACTGGAACTTACTTGGTAAAATAATTGAAATGATACCCTTGAGCCCGAGTTTTTAATTTAAATTTTTTTATTAATTTTTTTAATGCAAAATACAGAGAAAGTGGCAATTTAAAAAAGAAAATAAATTTTCCTGTTCCACTAAAACGAAACAATCGGAAAAATTTTATAATTTGCCTAACATTTTTTTTTGTAAATTCAAACTTTCAAATTTGCGATTTTTTAATTTGTGACAACCCTACATTTCTTTTTAACTAGTTTTTGTTAAGTAATATTTATTGACATGAGCAGCAGAATCAGTTTTCTTCAAAATGTATACTTTCACTTTGCATTAAAAAATTTAATAGAAACAAATAAAAACTGAAAAATCGGGCTCGACAGATCTATTCGAAATCTCACCAGCTTTCATTAAAGAAAATTTAACGGTCTATAAAACTGCCAAACAAATTCTAAAAATTCTGAAAAAAAAACTTTTGTTATTTTGTTGAAAATTTTTTTATAAATTTAAACTTTCACTTTTTCGTTTTGTAACATTTATTAATTTTATTTTGTTTAATTAAAAATTTATCAAATCAAATGAAAATTAATTTCCAAGTTTTCCTCACTGTGCGGCGTGTGTCTTGGACTCGGTAAGTTAGTTTAAAATCGATTGGAATTTGAGCAAGTTAACCCGCTCAGGACCGTAAGCATATATTACGAAAAAATTCGCGATTTGAATTGAAACTGTGGTTCATGCAGGATTGAATAATGAAATTCTGATATCAAACAAAAAAAATGTTGTATTTAAGAAAAAAAATCCCATAATTTTGTTAATTTCAATTAGCGTTTTTCCCCAAATTCATTTTCTCCAAAAATGGATTTTCCCCAAAAAATATATTTTTTTTTTTAATAATTTTGTTCTAGAAATCCTTTTTTAAAGTATTGCAGGATTTTTAAATTTCGCTGTATACTGTTTTCCAAAAAATGTGTATGTATTTTGTTCGTAATGTTTTTTTCTGTAAAAAAAAATTTAGAAAAATTTTATTTTCACCTAAAATGTTAAATCTTTAAAAATGTCCCAACATAATTTTTTTTTAATTCTATTACTAAAAATATTTTTTTTTTACAAAATTATTTTCACCACAAAAATTTGTTCCGGGGAGAAATCCCTACTTAATTTGGTTAAACATACTTATTCCTAACTAACTTTTTTTTACATTATATTTTTTGTACATGTTTTTCTAAAATATTAAAATTAAAAAAAGTTCGTATATATTTTTTAAATTTTTTTCCAAATTAGAAAAACAATTCCATGATAAAAATACTTAGCTAAATGAATATGACGCACATTTCAAAAACAGAAAATATTTCTTACGCTACTAAAAATACAGAAAATTTCATTTTGAGTGGAGTAACTTTTTGTTAAGTATATTTCCCATGATCCTGAAAAGGTTGAATAAAAGCGCATAAAACCTTAGATAACCACCTTTTAAACAATATTTTTGGCAAAATCAGAAAAACTAAAGGATATGAAAATAGTGTCTGGCAAAAAACGTTCCTCAGATTCTACCAAAAATGTTGATGACAAAACTTTTTTGGACATTAAAAATGTTCAAACAACTGAGCCGCGGCCATGCCGCACCATGCTAAAATCCGCACCTGCATGCAAGGATACATACAAGCAGATTTCTTGCCATAATGAAGGCAATAAAAAAAGAGTATATGTATGTATGTATGTAGACATTGACCGCGGGTGTTGTATGAAATTGATTGGATCTGATGATGAAAGTATCTATCGTTCTTGCTAAAATTCAAATTGTATAGTGATTTGTTGCATTGATGATGTGCTAAAAATATGCAAGTACATAAAATAAATTGTATCCATCTTTATTGAGTAAATATTCTCCGAATAAGAGTGTATGCACAACTAATATTAGACATGTAATGATTATTTTCAAGAATCAATCACATTAATGGCTAATATTGGTTATATTTTTCTTCGGAAGCATGCATTTCGTATTTGTATTAAATTAGGTAATAAAGTGGCTAATGTAATAAGAGTTAAGCTTTAAGTGAATTTTATTATTTCCAGCAAGAATTTCCAGCTATAATAACATTTTGTCTTTTTTTTTGTCTATGAAAAACTCTGTATGGATCATTTAAATTTGAATCAGCGCACTGAAAAACCATGCTTGCAGAGAAATCTTAAGGAGTTATGATCCTCTTCGATTTTTCGCCGAATTTTCAGAGACGAAATATACTGGGCTCACTTTGATTATTTTATGAAAGTTCGGAAGAAAATCGGTAAAGCAATGTTCAGAAATTGCATATGATTTTCTTTGGGCATTACAGACTGAGGCTGATTGACTTCGCCGGGGTCCGAAACATGGCAGTATGCAGTACTAGGTTCCAGCACACAAATATCCATCAAACATTGCCTGGGACCATTTTATGGTTGCAGCCAAGATACGCACCCACCTCAAGCAAGGGTCAACTTCGAAAAGCTGCAATCACAATAGACGGCCAAAGCATTCACCACTCGACTCTCACACCTGCTCTCTCAGAGAGCACTCTTCAACAAACTGACACACGCAAGGAGTGGAACCACATTTCCCGCTCATTAAGTACGAGCCCGAAAGAACAGCTGGTCCGATGAGGAATGTCAAGAAGCTGCAGAGTAAAAAGATGCCGGCTACAAGGGCAACGCTGCGATCGAAGGCAACCCGAGCCATGTGGAACCGTTATAGGGAACTTAAAGGTAAAGCGAAAAGTATTTTGCGCAATAAGAGGAGAGAGAATTTCATTAAATTTTAGATTGTTTGACTGAAGTGCTACTAGAATAAAATATACTTACAAAACTTGGTAAGATAAAAGTCAGATAGGCTTATTAAATAGTTATGATCAGGGAACGGATTTTATGGAAATTGCCTTTTTTTCTGCTAAATAGATAGAGTATATTACACATTTGATGTTGTCTTTTTTTGCCTTTTTTAAGATATTTGCCTTTTTTGCCTTTTCTACCTTTAAAAAAGCGATTATAGCATTTACAATTTTTATACCCGAGCGCACTTGTGCACAAGGGTATTATAACTTTGTTCACATAACGGTTGTTTGTAACAGGCAAAACGAATCGAGATAGATATAGACAAATGTATACATAAACGATCAGAATGAAAAGAGAAGTCGATTAAGCTGTGACTGTCTGTCCGTCCGTCCGTCCGTCCGTCCGTCCGTCCGTCCGTCCGTCCGTACGACTGTGCACACGATAACTCGAGTAAAAATTGAGATATCTTAACGAAGCTTGGTACATGCACTTCTTTTGGGCGTAGGACGGATGGTATTGAAAATGGGCGAAATCGGACAATAACCACGCCTACCTCCCATATAACGGTAATTTTCAGAAATATGAAAACTGCGATATTTTAGTAACTAATGAAGATTATTCACTCAAAATTAATATTTAGAATAACTTTTAGACAAAAAATAAGAATATTAAAAATTTTTGGAAAATGGGCGTAGCCACGCCCACTTATGGTTACATGTGTATATCTTGGTAACTGCTGCACCAATTTCTTCCAAACTTAGCACAGTTGTTGGTCCTGGTACAGCATACCAAATGGCCGAAAATTTTTAAAATCGGACAATAACCACGCCCACATCCTATATAACGGTAATTTCGAGAAATACGAAATCCTCGATAAATCAGTAAATATTAAAGCTAATTTTTTCAAAATTGATGGTTGCAACAATTCTTAACCAAGAAATATGTCTGTGATAAAATTTTGGAAAAAGGGCGTGGCACCGCCCACTTATTATAACATATATGTATCTCGGTAACCGTTCTACCAATTTGTACCAAACTCGGTATGGTTATTGTGGTTGCCACATAAAAGCAAACCGTTGAAAATTGTTGAAATCGGACTAAAATTACGGCGCGTTTTACATATAACGGTAAATTTCAGAAATGCTTGAAATTTCAATATTTCGAAATTTAAGGACGCTAATTTACTTAAAATTGATACACCCCGGCTTATCATGTAGCGATAGCTTTCGGAAAGGTGGAAAACATATATTTAGTACTTGCGCCGGGTATTTAATGTTCGGCTCCGCCCGAACTTAAACTTTCTTATTTGTTTTTTTTTTTTTAAGATTAAAAAATATACACATGCCCATGCGGCTTATAGAAGCGCAGGGACCTCTTACCAAATTGGTGTTGGAAAAATTCAAAGCCTCTCAGCTGACGTAGGCTTGCAGACAATAAGAG